TTAGGTTTAGGGTTAGGTTAAGGGTTAGGATTAGGTTTAGGATTAGGTTTAGGGTTAGGTTAAGGGTTAGGTTTAGGGTTAGGTTAAGGGTTAGGTTTAGGATTAGGTTTAGGGGGGGTTAGGTTTAGGTTTAGGGGTTAATTTTAGGTTTAGCGTTTAGAGCGTGCTTCTGTCTTTGCGCTGTTGTCGCCCTGTTGATGACGTCAGCTACGCGTTTTCGTCGAGCGCGGTTTAGTCGAACGCGGTTTTGTGGTGGAACCAGACACAGATAGTCCTCGACTCACAACCTCAACTGAGCCCCAAAATTTCCATTGCTAAGCAAGACAAGTTGTTAAGTGAGCCTTGCTGCAGCGATTCACTTAATGACTCTAGCAGTGAAGGTCCTAGAATGGGGCAAAATTCACCTCACTGTCTCACTAAGCAACAGAAATGTTGGATTCCCTTGAGGTCGTAAGTCAAGGATCTACCTGTAGTAACACCACTTCTCTTAGATGCATTTCCAAAGCACCCGAAGGCCAGACCAGGAATAATGGATGGAAACTGGTCAAGGAAAGATTCAACCGAGAAATTAAAGAGAAAATTTTCTGACAGTGGGAACTGTCAACCAATGGAACAGAAGTTGCCTTCAGAAGCTCCGTCACTGGAGGCTTTCAAGAAGAGACTGGACTGCCACCTGTCAGAAATGGTGTAGGGTCTCCTGCTTGGGCTGGGGGTTGGACTAGATGACCCACAAGGTCCCTTCTGACTCTGTTAATCTGTTAAAGATGCTGTGCAGTGTAAGGCGGGTGAGGCCATGTCCAACCTAGCGTAGCCTTTTGACTTGGCCAGCGTCCTGCCTGCCACCCGTGGCCTTAATCGTCTTCTTTCCGCTTGCCTTTTCCCCTCTCCAGCTCTGGAGCAGCAGTGTGACGAGCACCGCAAGAGAGCCAAGGAGCTGAAGCACAAATCCCAGCACCTCAACAACGTGCTCATGAATTTGACGCCTGTCTCCATCCCCTCCCCTCTGAAACGGCCCAGGCTGACCCGGGCCACTTCAGGACCCCCAGCCATCACCTCCCAAGTCCTGACTCAGTCGGCTCAGATCGCCCTGGCTCCAGGAGTGCCCATCACCCAGCTGGCCGGTCTGCCCATCGGCAAAGTGCTCTCTGCCCTCCCGGCGTCCGCACTCGGAAAGGCCACCGCCCAGGTGACGTCGGCTGGCTCTCCCGCCTCCCCGCTGCTGGGCGGATACACCATCTTGACGTCGGCGGGTTCTGCCTTCCCCAACGCAGTGGAAATCCACCCCGAAGCCTCCAACCTCACCGTCTTGAGCACCGCGGCCATCCAGGACAGCAGTACGGTGGTCAAGGTGATGAGCCCTTTCCAGCTGCTCACCCTGCCAGGGCTCGGCACGGCCATCCAGAACGTGACACAGCTGTCTCCCGGGGGCAGCACCATCCTGGCTTTGCCGTCCAGTGTGATGGAAGGCACTTCGGCCACGGAAGAGCACACGACCATTGAGGTAACCACCGTAGCGGACGAGACTCAGCAGAAATGAAATGTGGACGTTGGTCCTTTGGGGGGAGGGAGTGCTCCAGGCTTACGTGCCCATCCCTCGGATGAGAAGATGGAGACGACGAAGAAGAAGAAGGAGAAGAAGAGAGTGCTGGGAAAAGAGAGAGGAAAACGGATCGGCTGATGGTGGAATAGGGAGGTTGAAATTTTTAAAAAGAGAAGAAAGAAGAAGAGGGAAGACGAAATGAAGGGAGAATATCATTGATGGGGCAGGAAAAAGACCCCCTGTTGCTGGGATCCATTAAAAGCTATAATCTTTGCACCCCCCAGCTTGTAAGTACCCCCCCCCCCACATCTCTAGCCAGCTCTGGGGAACCAAGGCAGCCAAGGCTGGGTTTCGAAGAATAAAACAATTAACTCAACCTCTGCAGGCCAAAGAATTAGGCAATGAGACAGGATTATTTTAAGCATTTCCGGCCTGGCAGAAGTGAGGGTCCCAACATAGGCAATTGCCTGAATTTTGGGCTAGGGAGTTGATGGACTGTTTCTCTGCCAGGACGGAGGAAGAGGAGCGAGAGGGAGGAAATCTGGCATTTGGATGTGGGTGAAATGGAGAATGGGCCAAAGGCGCATGGGAAGGGGAATAAGCGGCTTAAAAATGGGGATGTAGGAGGCTTGGAAGGGAGACAGGAGGACTTCCGTGGTGGGCAGATCCATTCCCAATTTAAGAGCATCAATTCGCCGAGCTCCCTGCTTGCATCTCAGCCTGAGGAGGAAGGTCTGGCCAAATCTGCTGAAGGTGGACCCCCTTTGTTGGATTTTTCTCCCCCTCCCCCCCCCAAGCGGTTATGTCCTCCACGGCTACCGAGCCTTATCCTCCCCAACCCCTGGTACATCTGCACTTTAGGCTGCAAAACAATGTTTTTGCCAAAAACAAGGGTGAAAAATAGGAGCTCCCGATTGTTCCGGTTGACTTGAGGGACTTGATACTTGATGTGAGAAGAAGAATCCTCTGTCGGAAGCTACGAGGGCTCGGCTTCTCGCAGGGTGAGTTTGGGCCTATCAATAACGACGGGTTCTTGGATAACATTAAAATTTTGTTTTTTCAAGCTTGACCTGTCATTGTGGCTTCTTGCCTTGTTTCCGTGCTGTGTGCACAGAGATTCGGCGATCTTAAGCTCACGGATTTGAGCTCTAATAGGTTCGTGACTCAACTTCCCCCCCCCCCCCAAGACAGCTTGAAACTCATCGTTGAGAGCTGAGAGCAAGTTTTCCTTCAACCTTGGCGAGTTTTAAGATGTGCGGCCTTCATGTTGGCTGGGGAATCCTGGCAATTGAATTGAAGTCCACCCATCTTAAAGTAGCCAAGGTTGAGAAACACTGGCTTGGATTCTCCTGTACATTAAACCAACATCTTCAAATTTATAGGCTCATAATATATAACCCAACATTCTACTGACTTGTAACGTCCTGCAAGATTCAGAAAGCAGGAAAAGGCCAAAGAAAGGACAGGCATGAGATAAGGAAAGCATAAACTGCTTAAAAATCCCGCCAAAGCCAATGGGATTTTTTTTTTCATGAGCCAATCTAGCCAGTGAGTTTCTATGGACCAGATTTTGCATGTGGGGTGAACTAAGNAATTTGGGAGTTCTCCGAACTGCACAGAATCTTAGCTAGAGGTTCTCCCGAACCCCTGCGAACCCCCAGCAGCCCACCACTGACTAGCATGTTATCAGTTGAAGGCGGTGCAGTGGTTAGAGTGCAGTACTGCAAGCTACTTCAACTGACTGCTAGCTGCAGTTTGGCAGTTCAAATCTCACCAGGCTCAAAACTGACTCAGCCTTCCATCCTCCCGAGGTGGGTCAAATGGGGACTCAGATTGCTGGGGGCAAATACCCTGACTCCGTAAGCCGCTTAGAGAGGGCTGTGAAGCACTGTGGAGCGGTATATCTGTCTAAGTGCTTTTGCTATCCAGCAGAGCCTGTAGAAGCCACACAGGGAGGAAACGGGTCTCTCTCCCAATACGTGACCATCCTTTTGAGATAGTCCAGGCAGGAAGCACATCCAGATGAACTAATTCTACTTTATTGTAAAGTTACATGAACAGAACCTCATAGGTCTGAAAGTACACCTCTTTTCCCCCTCACCTTTACAACCCAAGAAACTAGGGAGAGTCTCTTCTGAGGTGGTTGCCATTCCTTCTCTCCTCCTGTGGGCTCAGCAGCCTCTTATCTGGCAATTGCAGCTACTCTGCAGCTCTTCCCCCTGTCTCCCAAGGCCCTCTCTGCCTGCCATTACTTTCTTGCCTACCCTCTTCATGTTACATCTTATCTTTCTCACCCTTGCAGTATGACAATCATTTGATAAGTCCTAAGGAATTTGTGCATTTGGCTGGCAAGTCCACCCTGAAGGACTGGAAGAGGGCAATCCGGATGAATGGGATCATGCTAAGGTAAATCACTACTTATCGCAAACTCCATGTCAAGTTTGAACTGCTTCTGAACCATTTGAAAACCTGCCACTATTCAACTTGCCAAAAAAGTGTGGGGACGGGTGAGAAAGAATCCAGACAATCAAAGAATAGACTGCGTGAGCCAAGAACCCATCAAGGTCACTATTGCAGGTGTCCAACAAAGAAACGAACTGTTCTCAAAACAAAAGACCGATTCATAATTGGACAGTGTGACCACTATGGGTGGGTCGGAGGGGAGACCAATATTCAACTATGCAGCATTGCGCAGGAAAACTTCAGAGCTGGTTTTATTTCTTCAGTGCTGAAATGGTGTATCCAATAAACTTTTGCTTTGGGGATTACAAAGTTCCCGAGAGTGTCCTACTTTGTTGGTCGACTGTTGACGCTCCATTCCCTTCTAGCCCCGATGATGTTACCTAGTTGGGTAAAGAAATCATCATCATCTTTAACGACCCCATAATCCCTTGTGGGGTGGAGTCTGGGCAACTGAATGGAGCTAGCAGAATGTTTACTGGCCGGATGCCCTACCAGTCGCCAATGCGGAGTTTTGTTCAGCAGATATATTCTCATTGTACCCAGAAAGAGAAATACCTGCCTCTACCTAGGTTCAAACTCACAGCCTCCTGATTGTGAGGCAAGAGCTCCACCTCTAGGCCACTGCACCACACTGTAGTTGGGTAAAGAAACGTCTATGAGAAAATTACCAAGCTCAGAGAAAACCAAGAGCCCTACAGATCTACAAATCTACAAATACTCTTCTCTTCTATCATTTTAGGAAAATCATGGATTCAGGGAAGCTGGATTTCTACGAGCACACAAAAGTTTGCTCGAACACCTGCCGCAGCACTAAAATCGATCTGACCGGGGCCAGAGTCTCTCTCAGCAGTCAGACCTCAGCAGAGTACACGCCTCTTACTCCAGCCTCTGCAGACGGTATGTAGGGAAGCAAAACCTAAGAACAGACCACAGTTGAAACACTGCAAGGGCAGTTTTAATTCCCACCAGCCATTCACCCAGTGGTGGGATTCAGCCGGTTTGCAACAGTTCAAGGGACAACTGGCTGTCGTGGAAGGAGGGGCGAACCGGTTGTTAAATTACCACCCACCCCCACTATCAAAGGGGATCCCGGGGGCTGCACTGTGGTGAAATGGGCAACGGAGCAGCCGGCAGGAGGAAAGGGGAAGACCACTTTCCCTCTTTCTTCTCCCTGTTCCTCCTCCTCCCCTCATGCCAGCCGCTCCATTGCCCTTTTTTCCATTGCATCACAGCAGTCGGGACCCACTTCGATAGCAGGGATGGGTGGTAATTTAACAACCGGTTCGGCCCTGGTCAGGTTGGGCCTAACCTCCTAGGACAGCCAACCTGACGTTGGACGAACCAGTTGTTAAATTATTTGAGTCCCACCACTGTGTTCACCATTTCTTTAAAAAAAAAAACAACCACTGAGTTCTTTTTCTCCCTGGTTCAAACGTCTATAGATATTCAACAATTAAACCCAGAAATGGCTGCCAGGTGTATCTGCCTGTTGCAGTTTGGAGGACTTGCTGTCTGAACCAGAAGCTCTGCCACTTGAAGATGTGAGGGCTTCAACTCCCAGAATTCCCAGAATGGGGAATTCTGGGCATTGAAGTCCACACATCTTTAAGTCCTCAAGGTTGAGAAACACTGTTCCGAACCCTTTTCAACCCCTTCTAAAGCTCTGGCAGCTGCTGCATTCAAATACTCTTTGACTTCCCCAGTTTCCTCCCTCCGCTGTGTTTTTGTGGGCATTTTAAACATGCTGTGTCTTTAGGTGAATTCATAGGTACAGGAGAAATAGGAGTCTTTTGAGAGCTCCAGCTAGTTTTTCCAGAGCCTGTTAACTGCTTTTTTGGTTCATTATACATGTGAGACAAGAAACTTCAATAGGCTTTGTTCTCTGTCTGTAAGCTTTAATTTTGGCTACTCTTTATCTTGCTCCCTGACAGTTCCCTGCTGTCTTCCAAATCCGGCCATTGATGATAGGCTAAATATGTCATACGGGAATATGTCAAAATACGTCCTATTTTCCTTTAAGGTTTCCTGTCTGAATTATTTACAGTTTCTGACAGATGAAAGTTTCAAAGGCAGCAAGATTTCCCTACATCTAGTCCAGGGGTCTCCAACCTTGGCAACTTAAAAACCTGTGGACTTCAACTCACAGAGTTCCTCAGCCAGCAAAGCTGGGAGTTGAAGTCCACAAAACTTAAAGTTGCTAAGATTGGAGACCCTTGAACCAGTTATTATTTTCAGCCTAGCGTGGGGTGGGCGATGTGTTGTAATCACCTTGTAATAAATCACAAGTTAACATTGCAGGTGTGCATGAAGTAATGCACCTGAGCAATCGCTGAAAATGCTTTGGAGAAAATGCTTTGGACCTTCTATGTAGGAAGAGCCTCTTGCTAATATTTATTAAGGCAGCTTAACATATGCCACTCTTTTACATTAGCCTCTAAAGAGAGGTCATACAGCTGTAAGTTTACTTGTGAAAGCTAATTTGATTTCTAAGCAGTGTCTTACTTTTCAGGATCATATGGAAGCCTTTTAAAAAAAACCACCTACTTCAAATAACAACAGAAAGGTACTGCTTTCACATGAGGTCCAATGGGATTCTTCCAAATTATTTTCAAAATCTGCATGGCTTAATTAAACAAACATGGCCTCAAAATCTTTGAACAATTTAGTCCTGGTTTTAGAAATGTTTAATGGAGAATTGGGGCTTTCTGATTTTTCTCTGGCCGTATCATCCATTGTATAAGAAAACAGAATGTTTGGGTTTTTTTTTTTTAAATCAAGAGTAAGAGAGTTAAAAGTCAAATGATGCTCGATTTCAATTGCAGTCAATGGATCTCCCGCCACCATCACCATAGAAACCTGTGAGGATACCACCGAGTGGACCACGGCTATTGGAGGTGAAGCTCGTAATGTCTGCCCTTGGACCCACCCACAGGATGTTCAGTGCAAAACCTGAAAGGCTTTGAAGAAGGGAAAAAGCAGAGGTGGTCATCCTGCTGTAGGCAGGGCCACAGAGCAATAGAAGAGCTCTTGCAGCAAGGGTTGAGGTCAAGTTTTTGGCATGTTTAAGTGGGATGGAAAAAGACTCCTCTGAAGAGATGCTGATACTGGGAAATTGTTTGAGTGTGGGGAGAGCGGTGGGTTAGGTGATGTCATCTTGCCATTCTTTTACTCTCACTCTCTCTCACCACCCTGTCTTAAAAGTCAGGTCTGTTAGGTAAGCTCCCCGTTGGGAGAGCGAGTACGTTCAGCGAAGCGTTGTGAGAGTTGTGTTGGAGAACACACCAACCAGCATACAGAGACACTGCAGTTTAAATAGGCTTTTACTTTCGTGGAAATAGAGGTATCANGGCTCAAAGTTGACTCAGCCTCCAATCCTTCCAAGGTGGGTAAAATGAGGACCCAGATTGATGGGGGCAAATATGCTGACTCTGTAAACCTCTTAGAGAGGGCTGTAAAAGCACTGTGAAGCGGTATATAAGTCTAAATGCTACTGCTATCACGGATACATGCTTCATAGAGGCAATACAAGTAGTCCTCAGCTTAACGACCACAATTGAGCCCAAAATTTTTGTTGCTAAACGAGACACTTGTTAAGTGAGTTTTGCCCCGTTTTACAACTTTTCTTGCCACAGTTATTAAGTGAATCACAGGAGTTGTTAAGTTAATAACCTGGTTGTTAAAGTGAATTTGGCTTTCTCCTTGACTTTGCTTGTGTGGAAAGTCACAAAAAGTGACACACACCCCCAGGACATTGCAACCGTCATAAATACATGCCAAATTTTGATCACGTGACCATGGGGGAAGCCGCGATGGTCGTAGGTGTAAAAAATGGGCATAAGCCACTTTTTTCAGTCCTGTCGTAACTTTGAACGGTCATTAAGCAAATGGCTGTAATTGGAGGACTGCCAGTACAAGAGAGCCACAGGTGAAAAACATGTAATGGGACGACTGGGCAATTGTGGGTGTGGAAGTTGTCAGGGTTCCAAAAAACACCCCCAACAAAATAAAACTCCAAGGCTCGAGTTTCCTCAAAGTTCCACTTTATTCGAGATGTCATGTTGGCACATCTGGGAAAAGTCGAATCTGAAAGCTTCCAGGTTTTCCCACCCAGTTGAAAGTTCAAGACCCTGCCCCAACACCCACAAGTTCCATCACATGGTCCAATCTTCCACTGACACAAAGACAGATTCCTCCCATCCAGTTTCGGCCAGGTGCAGAGGCAAAGATGACCTTGACTTCCTAAGAAGAATGTTGTTATGGCTACACATCATCCAACTCCATACAATTCCCCCCTCCCGTTTTCCCACAGTAGAAAATGTAGCAGGCCTGAAGTCCAAAAAGAAAAAATGGCTTGCAGGCACGACAAAAGTCCACACACACTCAGATTAGAGCAGAAGACCAGTAACCAAGATACTCTGTGGTCATCCTTGCCAAAATTGCTCCATAGGAGTCAAAATACCCCTTTTGTCAGGGTTCTGACGGATGCCGTAATTAACTCATGAGCCTCAAGCCAAGTGTCAAAAGAAATCCAGTTATTTATTAGGAGCAACATGCCAGCATGTACCTG